CTTAGATTCTTTTATTTTGACGTCGCTTCTATCATTTCATTGAGTTTTAGTCATGACATCAGTTGAGCCAGAATGGATGTCTACATTTTCACGACACCATTTCTACTAGTCAAACGGAAAGTCTTTTATATTCTTCATTTCCAAAATTTTTCAAAACTTGTGATACGTGAGAAATGTTCAAATTCCTGCGAGGAATTTTACCTTTTCAAAACTCTGAAACTAAACCGTGAGGTTTAACCGCTTGTTCTAATATAGCATTTAGTTATTGTAATAATTTTGATTTTCTCGAGCAGATCTATTACTGGTTCGCATTTATCTTGAAAGTTATGTCGTCGGAGTTAAACAGTGTATGGCTACTAGTTGGTGAATGAGACGAGTCAAGCCGTTTATCTTTTTGTTATACCCTTCTGCATGTTTAACAGTTTTTGTTTACTTAAAATTTTCGGTTCTGGACCTGATAGGGAAGTGAACAAAATTTATTTATTTATTTTTTATTGCCACATAGTTTGTAACAGTGCTCTCGTCATTGATTTACGTTTTATTTACTAAAGCTTTAATCGAAACATTAGATATGTTGAACTTTATTTTTTTTTTATTTGTTGAGTAAGTTTTTTGAGTTGTAACAGTTGAAGGTTTTTTAAAATTAGCCTCAAAATTATGTTTTGAAGGACGTTTTAATGTAGCTTTTGGTAGATTATGACGCTTTTTTTACTTTGATGTTAGTTGAGCCAAATTTATACGGTCGTTTAAGTAGTACACGAGGTATAAGATTATTTTAATCACCTATCCAGTTTCAAAAGTGCTTTTCAGCATGTGGAAAGGAATGTATTTTCAATGGTTAATTGTATTTTTTTTGTAGCTTTTTCATTTTTGGTAATAAGTAGTTATGATTTTTTTATAATTTTCGGGTAAGACGAGCTTTTGTGGATTTGTTAATAGATGGAGCTCAACTGATTATTATTTTTAGGAAGGTGGCTTGAGATGAGTTGAATGTTACGTGGGTTGGAGGAAATGAAGATTATTTAATATGAAAAATGGTTTTTTGGAATTGTTGGTATATGCTTGTCGTTTGATTTCAACTGCATTAATGGTTTATTATGATAGAGTTTATGAAAGTCTTTGGGGGTAGTAGTTTTAATAACTTGGCTTGAACTGCAAAGGTAACTCGAAAGATTTTGGAGGGATATAAGAATACCGGTGACAAAACTACAGCAATTCTTTGCCGCGACCGTAAGCAGGATTTAGTAGAATAGTTGAGACGAACTCTCAGCAACCACTGCAAAGGTTTTTTGTTGGTTTCTATTCGCAATAACTTTACAATTCAAAAACGGTTACTGGAAATGAAGATTTGCTATGGTTTGCTGCGCATCATTTATAATGGTCTTAAATGATGAAGGTGATTGAGAGCTAGACGGGTCCAAGAAATCGAGTTTTTTCAGTCAAGTCATTGCTCTTGTCGCTCTTTCTGCTACTTCCGCTACTGCTACTGTTAAAAACGAAATGTTTAGTTAACTGGTCGCGTATTGGCGTTTTTTCAGTCTGGCTTTCAAGTGTTTTTGGCGCTTATTTGTTGCTCTCTCTTTCCTTACTCAATAGATATTTCTCACTTGCAGCTGCTTCGCTCACAGAAGGAAAACATAAACATGATATTGAAATTTTTTGGAAGTCAGTGTTTAGTTTTTTGTTTTTTTACCTGATTTTATTGGATTTGTAAAGCTTCAAAAAATTCTGAACTAAAATAGCGAGAAGCTGAATGGATTATTGTTTTTTGGGTTTTATAGGTTCAGCGGGAGTCTCATGTTCTTTGATTATTGTAAAAATAGCTAGCTTTCATTTTTTTCTCGATGATTTTTTCTTTTTTTCATTTTTAAACATGAAGTCTACCGCAGAACAGACTTTTGGAATGAAGAATAAATTTTTTTTAATTCAATTAGTTCGGAAATTAATAATTATTGGTATTTTTGCTGGTAGTCCTGCTTGCGTTAAGATGGGAATGGTGTTTTGAGGACGAAAATTAGCATCAGTTAGGCTAATGTACTACTGAAGTCCAAAATAATGCTTTTTTAGTGCACGTGTTGAGCAATTGGTTTTACTGTTCATTAACGTTCTTGCAAGATTTTTTTCAGTTCGTGTTTGTTTTTTAAAGTAGTCATAAGTAAATTTTCTTTCTTTAATTTTCCAAAATAATTTGTATTTCCTGATTCAGCTTTTTTATTGTGTAATAAAGTTGCTTCTCTGGCAAACAACTGAGAATTGTTTCTGCCATTTTGTCACCCAGAGATCGTGCTTTTTATCGTAATTTATTATAGAATGTTCCTCTGGATTATAAGGCATATGTAAAAATTTATTTTCTTTTTCTTCCTATTTAAAATTTTGACTTTTTTACACAGGGTTCATTGTCTTATTTGATTTAGAGCATGTGAATTGCAGGAATACTGTTGGTCATTTGCGCTTGACATGTTAGTGATAATGCAAATGAATACTTTATTTTCAGTACCGATTTTCTGTACCAAGCGAAGACTCTTCGCTGTTGCTGTTTTGATTAACTGAATTTGCATTATGTTTTGTATTTATTCTTGATTTTCCAGTGTTTTGACGTTTTTTTCGACGGAGAGGGAAAAATTATTTATGAGAACAGTTTTTCAGTGTTGGCTCGTTCTTCAGGAATTATTTAGTATATTTATTGTTTTTTAGTAGATTGAAAATGGCTTAGTGGGACAACGTTTTCAGTGATAGTGTTTTAAAAGTTGTGGAAATGTGACGTACCGAAAAAAGTTCAATTGGGCTAATTTCAGATGATTAACAACAGCAAAGACTGTCGAAAGTAAGGTGGAGAATGCGTTAGAAAGTGTTGTTGCTATTTTGATGTGCTGTAAAAATTCTGTTGTTATTGTAGTGGAGATCGTGATGGCATTTTGATAGAACTATTTTTTCTTCATCTTTTAATTTAAGAAGACTAAAAGTTTTTTAATAGTACTTAAAAAATTTTTTGTCTCATTATTTGTTATTTTAACTGTGATTAGATTTTCCTGACAAGTGTAGTGGTCATTGAGGATTTTGAGCAATTAGAGATATTTGGCTGCTTTTAACAGGGGATCTGTAGGTTGTAACTTTTACTTTGATATTAGTACTATTGAAAATAACAGTAGTGATAATGATAATGCTAGAAATAATAATAATAACAGTGGGGATAATAATGATAGCAACTGTAATAAAGATGATGACAAAACAGAAACAATTATTTTTATTGCGGCCAGTGCTATTATTGCCTTTCTTCTCAGTTATTTTCCTACTTATGTTTTAATACTATTATGTAAGTTTTAAACTAAAGACTGCTGATGAGACAGATATTTTTGTAGAATGGGTTTTTGCATGAGTAGTTGGAGTGACTGCTCTTTTAAGTCAAGGCGGCAGAAAAGGTAATAAGAAATAATGCTTGAGAATAGAGTTGAATAAGAGAATTTTTTTTCAACAGTTAGTTTTTTTTTTTGTCTGTATTCACCAGTTTTGATTGTAGAAAGTTTCTTTAGGAAATAAGTTCTAGTTGAAATAGGTTTTCAAGTGTCTTGATTTTTTTTTTTTTTTTTTTTTTTTTTTTTTTTTT